AGCGATAAATAAAAATTAAACAGATCTCAGATAAGATTCGGAGGTGTATCTATAACTACACAACCATTTTCATAAATAAGATTATGCAGTCCCTATGTTAATTAATTCATTAACTTTATTTTAATCAAAAACAAAATAAAATAGCTCAATATCACACCAGATCCCAATAAACCTGCTTTTCAGTTGACTGCAGGCCACAAACGTCACCCTTAGCACGGCAGAGGTCCCAAGCGCCACCTGTTGGTGTTCCGGGTACATTGCAGTTCTTTTTGAAATGAAAAAAAACTGGCCTCAGGAAATACTTTAGTGATTCACGCAGGAATCACACAGGAATCACGCAGGAAACTGTCCATTTCCAACCATTTTTCTTAAATGATGTAACATTTCCCAACTTTTGAGGAGCAGGTTATCTTGTTGGATTCTCCCATAACACAGATGGAAGTAGATAAAGCTATATCTGCACTTCAGTCCTGGAAAAGTCCGGGAGCAGACGGCTTTCCAGTGGAGTTTTTTAAGGTAATGAAGGGAAAAATTAGGCAGTTTGCTGCTGAGAATGTTCAACAAATCATTTGAGGAACTAAAACTACCAGAGACTTTGTACAGAGCTAATATAACATTTTAAACCCAAAAAAGATAAAAATCCTGAGTTATATTCATCCTATAGGCCTATCAGCCTTCTAGGCGTGGATTATAAGATACTCTCAAAAGTTTTAGCTCTTAGGCTAGAGAAAGTTTTGTGCTCGATTGTAGATGCTGACCAAACGGGTTTTATTAAGGGGAAAGGAATTCGTATTATAATACAAGTTTGCCTTTTTAATATTATCCATTATGTTAACTTTTACCAAATTCTGGGGTTGGTTGTTTCTATGGACGTTTGAAAAGGCGTTTGATAGGATAGAGTGGGAATACATGTTTGAAATTATGAGAAGATTTGGGTTTGGGCCAAATTTTATGAGATGGATTAGAATAATATACAACACTCCAATAGCTTCTGTCTTAACAAATGGTCGTTGTCTTCTACCTTTCAACTGGGTAAAGGCACAGCTCAAGGTAGTCCACTCTCACCACTCTTGTTCGCTCTGGCCATTGAGCCTCTGGCTATGGCATTAGACAAAATCCAAATGTTCATGGGGTGAAAAATTGGGGAAAAAGAGCACAAAATTCTGCTGATGACGTTCTTCTGACATTGACAAATCCAACTGATTCACTACCTGTTTTAATTAAATGTATTAAGGATTTTTGTTTGGGAGCTGGAGAAAATCCCATCTTTCTCCAGCAGAGTCCGCCGTGGATCCTCTGAGGGAGCCTCCTGCACAGCTGCAGCTCATCTAGATCATCAGAGGATCCACTATATAAGTTGTCTTCAGACCTTGCCTCAACGCCGCAGTGTTGTTCCAGTTGGTCAGCGCTGAAGCCTAGATCTTTGAGTATCTCCATGACTTTGAATCCAGGTTGGATTCTAACCACTATCTCTGTGTTTCCAGGAAACCCGTGTCTCCTCTGTGAAAGCCCCAGGAAGAGCTAACCTGCCGAGCCGACCCTCTGAGCCAAACCCTGAAGATTCTCTGAGAACCTCCAAGCAGCTCTGGACCAGAGCTGGGAAACCAAAAGCTAAGGTCTGTTCAAGCTAGACGTGAGATGCTGAAGCAGCAAACGGACTCAGCTGATAAACTCTTCTCCAGAACCAACAGTGACTCTCCCAAAGAGAACCTCAAGAAACCTCAAGGTACTATCAGAACTCACTTGGAAATCAAATCCTGTCAGCAGTCCATTAACTGCTCTGTCTCTCACTCCGGTGAAACCAGAACCAGGCCCGAACCAGTCAGCAGTACATTCTGTGTGTTGTGTTTAATAAACTTGTTAAACTTTCATCCTTGTGTCCGTCAGTGGTGTTCTGCTTTATTGGGTCTCCTTTTGAGAACCATCATGACAATTTTGGTCTTATATCTGGATATAAAGTGAAATTTTGATAAATCTGTCACAATGACCTTGAACAACTTGGTGGGGGATAGTGAACCTGCATATATTAAACCTTTCCGATGGGCCCCGTCAGGATTTGTATACTTAGGAATTAAAGTTACACCAACCATTAACCAAGTATATAAGCAAAATATCCATGGACTGACAGGTGATTTGTGCGAGATGCTGACAAGATGGAGGGCTCTTCCAATATCATTTTTTGGGGGAGGATAAATCTTGTTAAAATGGTCATCCTTCCTAAAATAATATATCCCACAGGTATGCTGTTTGTAATTTTGAAATCAGAAGCCATTAAGGCTATTAATAAGGCAATGGTTGATTTCATTTGGGCAGGAAGAAAACCCAAAATTAAACTAGAGATATTACAACTTTCCAGAGATTTAGGGGGGTGGGGATTACCAAACATAGAAACTTATGTTCTATCTGTACAAGCCAGGATCATTTCTGCCTGGATACATGGACACTCTGACTAACCTTGGCTCAACATTGTAACATCATTATGTAAACCTTCCTCACCTGTTAACATGCTAGGAAGACGTTTGAACGACTTGCCACAAATAGTGAAAGATAATCAGTTGATATGTAATGTCTTGTGGGCATGGGGAAAGCTGAAAAAAACTGTTTAATAGTACTCACCTGCTTAATATGGTATCAACACTTATAGACAACCAGATCTCCTGCCTGAAGACATAGGTTCGAGTTTCGTGGGTTGGCATAAAGCAGGCATAATTAGATTGTCTGATCTCTTTGAACATGGGGCATTCAAATCGTTTGAATCTTTAAAAACACAGTACGCGTTATCAAATAAGGAATTTTATAAATATTTTACAAGTTAGGCATTATGTCATGAAGGAAGCAAAATCGTTGATACACCAACAAACTCGTATAGACTGGAGAAGTTCCTTCTTGAAAATAAGGATCACAAACATTTTATATCAAAATTTTATTCTGGATTTATCAGCTAAATCTGGACAAACTGGCATGGTTGAGGAAATCTTGGGAAACTTTACTCAAATGTGAAATAAGCACTCAATTATGGGATAAAATCCTGCTCCTGCCATCTAAAATCTCTGTTTGTAACAGATTTAAAGAAATGCAGTATAACATTTTGCATAATGTATATATTTCTCCTTATATTTTTAGCAAGTACAATGCGGGAACTCTAGATTGCCCCAAATCTAAAATTTCTGTGGGCACCAGGTTTCACTGTTTGTGGGAATGTGATGTTATTCAGTCATTTTGGAAAGATGTATGTGTCAGAATCAGTACAGCTATTGGTCAAAATGTGTCAGAAAACCCACTGATGTGTTTGTTGGGACATATTCCTAAGCCACTAGTAAAACATGAGCATGTGATACAGTCACTTATAATTTTAGCAAGGAAGGCCATTGTGGTTTGAAATGGGTGGGCAAAAGAAACCCCCCTCCATTTCTTTTTTGGAAAAACCACTAATATCTGATTTTTATGACTTTGATTAGATTTTGGCCCATTCCTTGAGGGAAAAGTCTTCAATTCTTCACAAATATCTAAAGGGAACCCACTGGAAACCCACTGGGGAGGGGAAATGAAAAATTTAAAATTAAAAAGTAAAAAAAAAAAAAAAAAAATTCCCAGATTGAGGTGTTCCCCCTTTAAAGTTGTGCAAAAAATTTGTTTATCAGCAATTTACTTTTTTTCCCCCTGGGCATAATTTGAAAAAAAACTGAATCTAAATAAAAAAATTTTTTTCTTAGAAAAAAAAAAAAAATGAGGTCGGGGCAGGGGGGCAAGTTCTTTTTCCCCCCTTTTTATTATCTTTTTCTCGGCCTTTTGGTAGATAAGTTTTAGTATCTGTTCTTATCAGTTTAATATCGTTTATGCCCCTTTATCCGGGGACCAAATTTTAAAATTGTTTTTTGGGAAATAGGGAGATGGAAAAAAGGGCTTCTCTGTCCACTCTACGCATCAGCCTTGAAATGCAGCATTCTAGGATTGGGGCACTTCAGTTTATGTCCCAAAGGCAGCTCTAGGTGCTTTTGGGGAATCAGGTTTTATTGGGTGTTTCTAAAAGTAATGTGATGTGTTGTGGCCCCCTGAGGACCCCAAAAAACCTTTACCCCTTCAATCATTACCAAAAATTGGGAAAACTCACCAGTTGGTTGGGAACCAACGATACCTCATTAAATTATATGAACTGGAGAGAAATTTTTCTGCAAGTTTTATCAAGACCGATCAAAGGGAACCCATAGGTGGAATGTGGTGTCAGCTCACAGAAAAACCGGGGGACACCCGGAAACAGGGTTTCTACTGTACCCTGTATAAACGGGGCGGGTTTTTGAGCTCTGGGGGCTTCGGCCATACCGTCCTGAGCACGCGGATTGTTTGTTTCTCAGAACCCTAAGCGGGTCGGGCCGGGTTAGTACTTGGAGGGAATACCTGGTGCTGAAAGGGTTTTTTGGGGCCCCCTTTCCAAGGGTTTCCCAAAACCAGGGATCCGGGATCCTAAAATTTCGAATTTATGCTCCCCTTACCGGGGGGCCCAGAAGCCTACGGCGTTTTCTCTTTTTGGTTTAGTCCGGGGGGGGGTGTTTAAGAGTGGGCCCAAAAGACCTCCTGGAGGTGCAGGTTCCATGTCAGGGATCACAGAGCCCTCAAATTTTTGAAGTCAGGCTGCCATACCAGGGCCCCAGACAGCCTGCAGGCGTGTACTGCATGGTTTAGTCCGTGGGGGGGTGTTTAAGACTGGGCCCACAGGACCTCCTGGAGGTGCAGGTTCCATGTCATGGATCCAAGAGCGCTCAAATTTTTTAAAGTCATGCTGCCATACCAGGCGCCTAGACAGCCTGCAGGTGTGTACTGCTTGTTTTAGGCCGTGGGGGGGTGCTTAAGACTGGGCCCAAAGGACCTCCTGGAGGTGCAGGTTCCTGGAGGAGGTCTAGTGGTGGTTGTTGGCCCGGAGGAGAGTGTGTTTTTCTTGGGAGGAGAGTTGGAGGTTGTCACCCCGGATGTGGTCGATCATGCAGAGAGGGGGAGCGGCTGTGCTGATAATGAGGCTCTCTGCTGGGCAGAGCAGTGGGGAATCCACTCCCTGCTGAAGGTCTAGAAAAAGCCGCAGGGTGCTGGGGCTTCACACAGAGTGTGCAGGCCTTCTGCAGGAGCATCCCTGTTAAAATCAAGTCCAAATCTGCTGTTTGCCGGAAGAACCATCATTTTTGTGGAGTAGGGGACAGGAAGCCACTTGGTTGGCCCATAAAGACGCAGCATGTTCAAAATAGACCCCGCTACCTGCCCAGGGTTTAAAAAGGGGGTCTCTTTGAGCTCAGGATGCAGATTTATGGGCCATCAATTTTTTGCCTAAAATTTAGGGACATGGCATCCAATTAACTCAGTTTACGCAACTTAACATGGACCGATTGGGACCAAAATCTGAACAAACCATTTTCACATGGTCACCAATGAGCCAGAACAGGCTTTGGGTTGAGAATCTGATGGCTGGACATTTTCAGGTTCCCACATATGCAACAAGTTTCCCAAAACGCCAGCAAGCCATTAAGGACACGTGGTGACCATTGAATTGTGGGGTCATTTTCGGTGCGCTTAAAGACTAGCCCTGTGTATGCATTCGGAGCATTTTGTTAAGGCTTTCACAAGGATGCGGGTGCTGAAGAAGGCATGTCACTAAGTGCCTCAAAGCCTGAGATAGGAGAGCTTAGATTGACCCGGCCTTGCCGTGCGCCCAAGTGGGGGATGGGGGGGAACATTAGGTTTAGATTGAATGTGACGTTAACGTATGCCATGTGAGCCAGAATCCCCACCACCACCCCAGTCGAGTGATCAAAGATTGTGAACCATTAGTTAAAATGAGGTCAGGCAGAGGGGCAAGTTCTTCTTCCCCCTTTTCTCACTTATCGCTTCTCGGCCTTTTGGCTAAGACTGTGATTAACTCCTCTGGGTGGTGAAAGGTTGTCTGTTTGTGGCACTCTTGCCTACACCTAAAGGAGAAAAAAATTACCTTGTGGAAAACAGCTTGAAGTAGCTGCTCATTTCTTCAGGATTTTAAACTCTTTCTGTTGCACTTTAACCCCTTTTTTGTTTTTAAAAGTATTTATAGTGGTTTTATCTCCCTGGTTTTAACTATTTAAATTCCCTTTTAATCCTTTGAGTTGGTGGTGCCTCCACCATGTCGGCCAGCCATGCCAGCATGCGGAGGCACCACAGCATTCGCTTTTTATTCAAGGAAACAGGAGAAGGCCTAATAACCATGTCGAGACTTGATTTTTCAAGGAAACTGATCCAGCAGACCCTGAGGTTTTCTGCAAACGACCTGAATTGCATCCTGACCCTGCCCTTCAACAAAGGATTTGATGTAAGTTTTTGCACAAGCTTATTACTGAAAGAATTCTGGACACGTTTTGAGAATGCTAAACCCCAGTTTTCAGCATTTGACGTTGAGAAACTGACTGGCAATACTCTAAAAACAGTTATTGTCAGGATGTTCAATGAAACTGTTAATGCTGAGGATATTTGTATGTGGCTGGGAAGATATTGCACTGTGAAAGGCCAGGCTATGAAGGTGAAGGATGTCGACTGCATTTGTAATTGTGCTTGGAGGGTTCCCATTCAACAATGGGAGGACCCCCAAGGCTTCCAGGGCCTGAAACATCGCCCATCAATGATAGTCCTGGGGGAAAACAGAGGCTACATTCACTACCAGGGACAGCTTAAGCTCTGCCGGAGATGTGGGGAGCATGGCCACCTGGTTGAGGCCTGTGAGAAGATTTTCTGTGGTAAATGTAGAGAAGTTGGACACACTTTTGAAAATTGTAGTAATGGAAGGAAATGCAACCTAAGTGGATCAGAGGGTCATTTGTTTAGAGACTGTCCGAAGTCATTTGGGAACAAACTGAAAAACAGGAAAGTTAAAGAAAATGTTGAAAATGTTAACCAAACAATTGAGGGAGCTAACGAGCTAACCGAGGCAGCTGGGTGTGAAAATTTAAATTTCCCACCAAAACCTCAGAGTGGAGGAGAGGAACAGAAGGAGGCGGGAACAGGGGAGGGTCTTGCACCCTCCCACCAAAGTGAACCAACCAGGGAGGAGGACAGACAGGCACAGGAAGAGGTAGTATTGGAGGATGAGGAAATGGAGACTGGAGAAACCAGTGAGGATGTCCCCCTTCCTGACGCCCAGCTTGCCAAGAGACCAGCATCAGTTTTCTCCTGACACATCTATTGTCATGGAGAAAAGTAACCTGACAACAGCCAGATGCATGTCTCACTCCGCCTAGCTCCGCTCACATACATCTGGGAACCCGCCATAGGAATTGCCTTTACTGAAGGCTGGGCCTTATCAAAACTCCTTGCATATGATTGGATAAGCCACTTGTCTGTCATCTTTATTGACGTGCTATTTAAACCACTCACACCGAAGCTAACCCATGACGCTGTGAGAGGAGGAGCCATTTGGTAGATCAAGCTCTTGCCAAATCCGGTCGGGAGAAGGGCGAAAACATTGTTTCCACCAACAAAAGCCTTCAAAGCCGTTCTCTGATGTTCTTTTAATGAAACAATATCAGATAGATTGGACAACACAGAAGAAATAGCAGCATCAATGCTAACGCTTGCTTCCTCAATGTGAGCCGCCATTGTTGTTGGAATCTCACGGTCGCTTCTCCACTCCAGGACACACCCACCCTGCGTCCTGATTGGACAGACCATAAATTCGGTTGGGGAAATCACTTTCAATGAGCGGGTTCCCAGATGTATGTGAGTGGAGCTGGGTGGAGCGAGACATGCATCTGGCTGTTGTCAGGTTAGGAGAAAAGGGGAAGACTTGGGAACTCTAGGTGTTGGCAGCAGAGGCCAACACCTAGAGTCCGGAAGGGGAATGGAGCTCAACCACCTCCTCTCACATGTGAGTTGAAGGAAGAGCTCCATTCACAAGAAATAACTTAACTTGATTTGTTAAGCTCCCTCTCTTTTGTTTTGTTTTTTAGTTTTTTTACATCCTGCCTTTTATACCTTTTAGATGTCAAGCCTGTTATTTTTAATCATGCTCATGGCACTCACCTTCTCTACAATTAATGTAAGAAGCGTGAAGTCGCGAGTTAGAGCCCAGAGTATTTTATCCTTTTTAAACTCCATGAAATCAGATGTGTTCTTAATTCAAGAATGCTCAATACCTTTTTGACCCAGATACACTCAATGGCAAGACATGTGGCCACACACATCCATCTGGAGTGGCTCGAACAACAACAAAAATGATGGCATTGCCATTTTAATAAAAAACCCACAGGTTCTGGTGAAGGGAAGCACTGTGGTGAGTGAAGGTCGGGCGCTTTTAGCAAATCTGACTTTTATGGGACAGGATTTTAACCTTTTAAATGTGTATGGTTTTAATGACAAACATGACAGGTATGACCTTTTAGAGGAACTGCAGCCCCACATGCTAGGAAAAAAACCCCATCATTGTTGAAGGAGATTTTAATTGAATTTTAAGCAGGAAAGACAGGAAGAGAGCAGAAGGTTTTAAAGTGGACAAGACATCACTTTTATTCCAGGGGTTGGTCAGGGATTTTAAACTAGTAGAATGTTTTTGCTAAAGTGAGAAGGATTTGTCCTCTTGTAAGGAAGGCTGTAGCGCCCCAGGGGCCTTCTCGCCGGTTCTTTTCCTGGGAGCACGTTATCTACTACTCTTAACTCAAACTGGGTAAAACCATATAAAAAAGGACTATAAAACAGGAGTAAAAAAGTAACAGAGTTTATTCCAGATCAGGTCGTTACAGGACAGAGAAAAATGCTTCGAGCTATGCACAGCTGTGGTCTCAAAAATCACGCCCGCAAGCGTCCGGCAAAGTTTGAGCCCCGAACAACGTCATCTCCTCTTCTTATACCTTCTGAGTCTGTCTTGCATCATGTGGATGCTTAGCTGTCCGTATCAGAAACTGACACGCCATCCATGTCTTGAACTCCATGCAGGTTGCCTCTCTGTCTCAGGGTTACAGAT